ATACTTCTGAAAGAATTAAGCATAATGCTTAAATTAAGCACACAAACCACTGAAGAAGAATAGGTTTCAGTTGGCTAGAGCTCTCTACTCACTTCTATTAGTAATTGTTTATTATTTTCTATTGAAATTTAAAACTTCATCCCTGTGGTTCTTATATGATTTAGTTCCCATATTGTGCATCAGTTTCCTTAAGATATAACTGTAGTTCTGTTAGTTACTTCATTATTTAGTGATTTGCCCGGAGATGTATTCTCAATTTGCTATATCTTAGATTTTTATATGCCAAAACATCTCCTTTATATCTGACACAGCATATGCAATTTTATAAGACATCTAGTTTCTTCTCTTATTATTTATATACTTATTTTGAAGTTATCAGGTGCATGGCTGATGAAACTGCTGTCTTGTTGCTTTATTCACTGGTCCACGGCAATCCATATTTTTTGGAGTATGTTTTAGTGAGAACGGATCTGGATACACTGGTATGAATAATCGATCATTATTTTTAGTAAATAATTTTTTTCCCTTTCAAGTAAGTAATATATATTTGAGAAGACACAATGATGAGTGATCGACTAATATTAGTATTTTGGTCTTCTATTGGATGTTTTTTCCTTTTTTTTTTTCTTTTTTTTTCTTTTTATGAGTATATAGTTTCTTTAACTTTTGCCGTATTTTTGTTGCAATAGGAAGGTTGGGGCTTATCTACTTTGTAATTCTTCATTAACATGCCTTTTGAAAAACATTTACGCACGACTGTCAACCTTGTCCTGATATTCCTCAGTTTTTTGTTTTTTTTCCCCTTCTGTACCTGTCCCTTTTTTCGGTTGGAGTACGACATATTTGCAATATTAAGGGATTAACTTAATGTTGTTTTCAGGGTAATTAAGATACTGCATTTTGCACTTCTGTTCTCGTTGCAACGTTGGTATGCTATTGAATAATTTCCGTTTTGTCTTACAGTTAATGCCCATGTTAGAAACACTATATGATGCTCCAAGAAAGATGCCCAATCACATTTATATGGTGCTGATTATCCTTCTTATACTAAGCCAGGATTCATCTTTTAATGCCAGCATTCACAAACTGGTATAGATTGTTCTGATACTTTCTCACAGGCTTATTTAATTTGAGTACTTATCTGAGTTAATATGTGTCCTTGTAGATGCTTCCTAGTGTTCCGTGGTACCAAGAACGGCTCCTTCATCAGACCTCTCTCGGTTCCCTCTTGATCATAATTTTAATTAGGACTGTGAAATATAACCTCTCTAAGCTACGGGTATGACTTGATTCAGCTGGTCTAGCTTATTTCCAATTTTCCACTATGTATGAGATGACGTGCGAGTTTGCATCTGTTGCTGTTTATACCTTTTTGCAGTGGCATCTTGTTAGATCACTCAGCCCACTGTAAAAATTTAATTTTGGTCCGTTTACTTGTCAAAAGTCTTTTTTTGGTACACTAACTTTCCAATCATCAATAGTAGTACATTATGTTGCAATTTGTATCATTTTTGGGACATTACTCATCATAAACAGTACGTTATGTTACAATTTGTATCATTTTTAGGACATTAATCCCAAAAAATAATGAACTATTTTCGCGATAATGTCCTAATAGTGATACAAATTACAACATAATGTACTATTATTGGTGAGAGGAAAGTTAATGTACCAAAGAAAGACTTTAGACAAGTAAACGGACCAAAATTGTATTTTTGCCGAACAGAAAAACTAAACCTTCTGAACTTTGCCCTTTCTTTTAGAATATTTTGCACTTAACCCCACAGGCTCTGTGTTTTTGCACACATTACTCTATAAGCCACCCAATCAATTGGCTTTTGCCCGATTTTGATCACATGCACTGCACTTCTGCCCAAAATCTCCTTCACCAAAAACAAATATTGTATTGATTCATCATGTTAATAAATAAAGATAATCGTAATAGAAATCTGAAATGAATATAGATATAATATACTTTTGATTGATTAGGTTTTGCAAATGTATCTGGTTATGAAGTTTTTTTGCACATCTGTTGAAAACAGGATATGTATCTTCACACAAATTGTCTTGCAATATTGGCAAATATGGCTCCACATGTTCATCGTTTGAGTGCTTATGCTTCACAGCAGTTGCTTTGCCTTTTTGATATGCTTTCTCGCAAGTACGTCACATATTTTGTTTCCCATACTTGATGTCTTACTGATTAATTCTTAAATAATGGATGAGTTCTGTGTATTTCTGTTCGTTTCCTCGGTCTCAATCTATAGGTACAACAAATTAGCAGATGTAAAAAATGAGAAGATGATTATGGCAGATGGTGGTCCAAGAGGAGAAAACCTTCCAGATGATCCTGTAATTCCTTCTCTCGAGTGTTGTTTTTGAAGAGTAAAAGTCTTCTTACTTCTATTTTATTGCGCTATCTTGTTTGCTGATTTTTCCATTCAATACTGCAGTTAGCAGAACTCCATATCTATACTGACTTCCTGAGGCTTGTGCTGGAAATACTTAATTCAATTCTAACATATGCTTTACCGAGGAATCCTGAGGTACCACAAGTTGTTTTTGATTACTCGAGCAAATATTTTTCTTATCTGAATTTCTACTTTCTCGCCTTTACTCCATAATTTACTTACAGTGACTGTAAATTTCAGGTTGTTTATGCAATTTTACACAGGCAGGAGGTTCTTCTACCTTTCAAGAATCATCCGCGTTTTAATGAGCTGTTGGAAAACATATATACTGTATGTGCTAAGCAGAGAATATTATAGTTTTCAGAAGCAAATTTACCTTTTGGTAACTTGTGAACAAAATTGTACTCAGGATTCAAAGTTATGGTCATGTCAAAGAAGCTTTGTTTGTAATCTGAATTTCCTCTATTACAGGTTTTAGATTTCTTCAATAGCCGTATAGAAACTCAGGAAAGGGATGATGATTGGTCAGTGGAGAAAGTGCTTCAAATCATAATCAACAACTGCCGTTCTTGGAGAGGTGAAGGCATGAAGGTATATCACAGGAGTAATAATTTATTTATTTATTTATTTTCCAGGAGTAATATCACAGGAGTTATAATTATCACAGGAGTATATCACAGGAGTATAATTTATTTATCACAGGAGTATATCACAGGAGTAATTATTTATTTATTTATTTATTTTCCTGTTTATATTTTTGTTTTTATTGCAGTTATTGATAATGCTATATTATCTTATTTCTGAAATTGGTTTCGGACAGATGTTTACTCAACTACGCTTTACCTATGAACAAGAGAGTCACCCTGAGGAGTTCTTCACCCCATACGTGTGGCAGGTGGTATTGTCTCACAGGTGCGCTTCGTGTAACATTATAAATATTACTACATGTCCTTTTTCTTTGTTCTATTAACTTTTTGGTCTTTTCAATGACATGTTGAGACTAATCTATAGAGTTTATTAGCTTATGCTTGCCTGATTTTCACATGTTTACTTTGCAGTGATTTGGCTTTTGATCCGAGCAGCATAAATTTATTTCCGGTGCAGGTAGAAGTAAGTTTCATCACTACTAATTGCCTGGCATATTCTTCTGCGATAACTACAAAAACTCCTCTAACCGAGTTAGAAAATATATCCTATTAACGTTTGAAATTACAAGAATTCTGTTAAAAAGTGTTATTAGTTTCTATCCTGGGTTTGGATTTATTTTACAAATAACACCGTGGACGGTAGCAATTTGTAACAGGTACACGTTAAGGGTTAATTGGTGACCCTGAGGAATAACTGTTATTGTTCTTTCTTTTAGGTAATTAGGCTAGCCTTCGAGGTTAGTTGTTTGAAATTATAATTTTTCCTTATCCTCGTGCTGCACAGAAAGCCTTGCTAATTTTCTGCTTTAGTCTTTTAATATAGATTGTTTAGTTTGTTTTGATCAACAACTGAAATAACTGAAAAATGTAATAGATTTGACTTACCGGCAACTTATCCAGTTTTTTGCATTTCTGAGCTTATAAATGTGTTTCGGATCGTTGTATGTAATGCAAAGAACGAAAATCCCTACATATCTTCAAGGTCCTTAGGCCTTGTGATGAAGATTTATTTGCTACATCATATGGTTATATTTCACTATTCATATGTACTATATGCAGGCTGTAAATAGTGGATCGATGGTAAATAAACTTGAAAATGGCGAGCAGAAAGAACAACTACTTCGAGCATAGACTGGATGGCAGATTCAACTGAAGACATCAGGTTCAATTAACATACATACACATAAATACACACACACACAAATTTATCTTATTATGTAAATGTTTCAGAGTGTAGGTTTTTGTATAGTAACAAATAAGAGAAGATTCTCTCTAACCTGCGTTACGATTTAGAAAAAAGTGAAAATAAATGCATGCTGAGTAGGGATATGTGAACTGAATCAAGCATTTGAACCTGGATGGAGTTATAAGTTGATTTTGTTATGAAATTGAAAACCATCTATGGATGTGAGTGTAAATTTGAGTTTTGATGTGGTAGTTTTTTTGTGAATTTCGTGAAGTTGCTCTCATGGTTCTCCTTGTTAGTTTTTTGATTAATTGTTGTCCCACATCGGATGTATACCAAAGATGTGTAGGATCTTATTAGTATAAATAGGTCCCTTGCCTTTGGGTTACAATTGCACCTTATTCTATTCTCTCCTATTTAGAAGGAAATCCTTAATTAAGGAAATCCTATTTTGTGGGTTATTTAACCCTAGTTGTATTTTGTTGGTGAGTTTAGTAAATTTGGCGTTGCGGTTGGCGGTGCCCGGAGACGTAGGCTATTTTCGCCGAACTCCGTTATCAATTTTTGTGTTCTTTTTATTTCTCGTCTTTTATTTGTGTTGGCTTATTTTGGAGTAGTACTTGCCATATTTGTTGGAGGGGTATTTTTTGTCCGCTGCGCTTGTTGTGATACCCCAACACTCCTCCCTGCACTGAAATCTTACGGACAGTTGTGTGTATTCACTGTTGCGAATGAGTGGATGTTTAGGGCACGATTGGATATGAACCCAGCCGGTTTTTACCGGTTTTGTTTGGTTAAATTGAGTTATTTTGAATAAAGTAGATTGAGCGGAGGATTTTGAATTTGAAATTAAATAATATTTAAAATATATTGTTTATAGTTGATGTGATTAAAGTTGGAAAAAAATTATTGGAAGTGATAGGCAGATACGTAATATTATGTGAGTGGGTAAATAATGAATGAAAGTTGATGTGATGTGTGAGAATATTATTTTTTTTTTTTTTGAAATAGATGTGTGAGAATGGTGAATTGATATTATTTAATTATATTTATAAAAGTAGTATAGTTGGGTTGAATTTGATTTTATGTTATATGGTAGGATGTGAATTAATTTAACCAGTCATAATCGTTTAAAACCGATCATAACTCATATTCAATCATGCCCTTAAAGTTTGAGTAATAAGATTTTTTTTTTTTCAA